ACAGACAGTCAGATGAAGGGAAGGCAGGCAACGGCTCCTGACCCCATCTAGTGACATCCAAATCCATTCTGGTTTTTATTCCAGACTTTAAAGGAGCAACTAACCAAGGTGATAAAACTCTCTTCTAAACATAGCTTCAGCACCTGGGACAGCTGCTGTGGGAGAGCCTCAGGTTGGGTTCAACACCGTGGAGAGCTCCTTTGGGATATTCCCCCCAATAGCTTGAGCTGCGTGAACAGCCCCTTTTCAAGTCTGGAATAAAAATATCTCTTAGATTCACTGCACCCCTGGTATGATAGGCACTGGTCTTCATTGACCAAAGGTTATTCTACCCCATCTGTAGTCATCTGCTTTGATGGTGTCTTCCTGCATGCCAGAATTGTGATATCTAGTCTAGCCTTTCTCACCTCAGCCCCTTCCCATTTTTTGTAGACTCTACCTACAACCAGCCCCAACCAGCCCACCAGGGATGATAGGGATTAGAGTCCAACAACACTTTATTGGAGAATGGAACAGACAGATATACTGGGGAAATTGTTTGTTCAGCCATGGAGGATTTGTGCAGTAAAGTCACTCACATTAATTCAAGGCAAGGAGAGGAGTGATTTGCTGCCTTTCAGAAAAACTTGGAGTTTCGATTCTATATTGATCTTGGATTTATTCTGCCACACTGCAGAGCCTGCAGAAAACTGGTTGTTTGATAAGAAAGCAGTCTCATTCTTTGGTGCAGCCGGATGAGAGATGGAGGGGTTCCCAAGCTCCCCAGTTCTTTTATAAGATCAATCATTCAGTGGCTACTTCCAGTTACCAGATGTGACTGGAACCAGTATATTCTCAGAATCCCTCTCTTCACCAGCACCTATTAATCTATGAACTATTCTTCACACTTCTCTGAGCAATAGCTTTGCATGAAATCAATCCTCAGTTGGTGTGATAAAGGCAGAGACGGTGGAGAGAGGGAAGACGTTTCAGGGATAAAAAGAAAGAGAGATTGTGGACGCTGGTGGCTACAATCTCACTAGATGTGGCAAATCCAACCCAGGTTTTAGCATCACTCTTAAAGAAATTATCCAAGGTGCTGAACCAATTTTGGAAGGACAGGGTTCAGCACCTCAGATAGCACCGTTTACTGACTGAACATGGAGAAGACTTCATGCTATGATGAAATCAGAATTGCCAGTCACTACTGGAGATTGGAAACATTAACTCTTTGGAAACATTAACTCCAGATTCCAGAATCCCCAGTCAGCATGGGCACTGAGGAATTCTGGAAAATGTAGTCCATTGCATTATTTCTGAAGTGCAGATTAGACCATGGACAAAACAGGTGGTCAAGGGAGAATGCTCACCTGCAAAAGCCCGAGAAATATGGTTCTTCTTCCACTCCCAAGGTTGATCGTATTCATCAGCTGGCCGCTCATCATCCTGAGGCAAACGGCTCTCACGGGGTTTCTCAATGGAGGAGCCCTCTGGGTCAACCTCTCCATCCTTCTCTTCATAGGGAGTGTCGTACAGCTGCAAACCGATCCGGGATTTCTTCACCTTTTGCTCATCCCAGTCGCTTTTGCTCTGGAAATCTGGAAGCCAATTCAGCCACAGGTTTAGCCACAAAAGTTTGCAAAAACAATAATAACAGAGTCTGTGATGGATGGGTGGAATCCTGTTGCGTCTTTGCATCTTTGTGCATGGATGTATGTCTATGGGAATTAGAATTGCGTGATTACATAATGTTGGTATCCAATCGAGGGCTGCTGTTACATTGCTATTTTGCAAAGCCAGCCAAGTCCCTGACATGCATTGTTGCCAAATGCACATTGGTGCATGAGACACAATGGGACCGATGCGCATCGCATCAGTCCAGATGTGCATCACATTTGTCCTAATGAGCATCATGCACCAATGGACATTGGGTACCCTTATTGGCATCCTGTTACATACCTTCACAATTCAGACACTGGG